TTTCTTTTGTATCGTACGACATCCATTCTTTTATTTTCAGCTCTGGCTTCTATCGCCGCGCGAGTCAAAAGCTTCAAATGCCGGATGTATATTTTTGGTTCAAACCAAACTCCAACTGCGAGAGCGTTGACAATGGCAATCAAGATCAAGTTTCTCTACGCTCTACGATTGGCTTAAACGATGAAATCAATTAATTAGATTTTGGAACATTTAATTAGATCAATGTTAGCGTCTGTAGCAACTATGGCTTCAAGCGGCGAGCCAAAAAATACTCTATGCGGGTCCTCATGTCTTCCCCATTACTATACGGCAATCGCTTGCATCTTCTTCTTCAGTATAGCTTAAGGATTTGAACACTTAAAGGCCATCGCCATCAATAACGTCATCGAACATGGTGAGTTGATACTCGGGGCTTTACCGCTCCAAACCAAGTAATTATTACAGTATTTCTCTTTCCATAGCTTCCAGTTCTCGATGATTTCGCTACTTAATTGATCTCAAATCTGAATGTTGCGGAGACAATGACATCTGGTGGAATAACATTGAAAATTGTGATGCTTTAGGCGGCGAGGCACCGGAAGTTGTTTTCGCTCGTAGGCATTCGTAGACGGTAGACGTTGTCGACGAATTTGAACTACCCTTTCGCTGCAATGTGTAATATTAGATTGCAGAGAGAACCTTTAATAAACGGACGTCCTCAATCAAGGCTTAATCTGGCTACTGTAACTCAAGATACACAAGGTGAACGCGTGTTTTAATATGTAACTGTACGTATAGCATAAATTACAAAGCTGTTACAGAACATAAGCGTGCATATAAAGAATGTTTGGCAAATTAGCATGTCCGCCATTTTGAATAATCAAATCCAGCCGGTGTCAGAAACGTTTGTCGAGTTTGGCTATGACGTCAGTGCTTTCTCATTGGCTGACAGCCAAGCCTTTTGTTCTTTCGCTTTATAAGTGCGACACCACCCGGATGGTTGGGCGGTCAGTTAACTCCACCGCAATATACACAACTCTCTTAATCTCTCTTAAAGCAATACCTCCCCCTAAATATCCCCCCAATATCCCCTCACAGCCCGCATTTCATTAATCCCTTACATATACCTACACAGCCCACTTTTCATTAATCCCCCACACATACCTACACATCCTACATCTCATTAATCTCCTACATATACCTATACAGTCTGCATCTCATTTATCCCCCACATACCTACACAGCCTACATCTCAATTACCTTCACAGTTTTCATTTCAGTCAATCGTACCATGTGTCATTACTCATTATATCCAGTGGTTATCAATTCATGTAGAACCAAGTGGTCTTAAGATATCTCGGAATAAGTAAATTGACTATCGCTATTCAAATTATCCGCTCACTTGTAGCTTGCGAACAGGCTCCCGGTTGGGTTAAAGGGTTTAGTGCGAGCTAGCCTAGTGTGGTCTAAGGCGAGCGGGGAGAGCGAGGGGGAGCGCAATTCGCAGAATTCTTTTTTTCGCGCTGAACGACTCGCTTCGCTCGCCGGAGTGTTTTTCCGTCCCCGCCGGATTTTTTTTCGCCCTTGCTGGGAGCCTGTTCCCAGGCTAGTTCACTTGCCTTGTGTTCACCCGTTCGAACGGATACCGTGAGGAACGTTTTCGCTTGAGAGGTCACACATTTGCCGATGCATTTTTGTGGTTGAATCGGCAAAGTTCTTCTTTTAACGACGCTTTTAGGGTCTAGAAAGTTAAATTGACGATGTACTTACTTCTCTTTACGTGACGTGTGATTGGTGAAAAAAAAAATTCTCCGTGATGCGTGATTTTATAGAAAAATTCAGCGTGATGTGTGATTGGTACCCCACCTTTGCCACCCTCTGACGACATAAACTCTTAAGCGTCGAGTGTGTTGTTTCTTCTACTCTTGCGACGAAGAAAGCAAAGGCGACTTCCATGTAATAAAGAAGAAGAAAAACAAAATGTCTTTGGGCCAGGGATTTTTTGATGAAAGAAGAAGCCAAGGTGATTTTTTTTACAACCTCGTGGAGGAGCTGCGACTTGGAGATCGTGAATTTTACTTGACAATTGGATGTTTTTATTTCTGTCTTTAAAATCCCTGCACTCTTTTTCATACAATGTATTTTATAGTTCAGAACAACCTGGGAAAACATTTTATCAATATCAGCCGCGGCCTCCGCTATTTTGCTCAAATGCTCAGAGGCGGAAGAAACCTTTTTCAAGTTAAACTCAGGAGCTGTTATGCTTGAATATGCTTGTACTTGCACTTGTGCTTGCTTTGTTAATGGAAACCAGTCTTAGAGTAGAAAAAGTTCTTTTGCCCGGTGTAAAAACTAGAAATGAACATACGTAGACCTTTTACCAGCCTGATCTGTTTTTATTTTTGAAAGTGGCTAGCTAACTAAAGAATGTCCATTGTACAACAGTCGAACCTCCGGTTGCGACCACCTCCTTGTAAGCAACAACCTCTCCTCAGTTACCAGTTTCCCAAAACACCAAACGTCACCAAGTCAAATCACTATGTTTGGAACCTAATGTAAGCGACCACCTTTCGTAAGCGACCGCGACCACTTTAATTTTAGAGCAAAATGTTCGAAACTTTCTTTTGTTTTTTACCTCCCGTAAGGGACCACTTGACAGATAATAGCGCTAAAATTGGATAATGAGGAGTTGCAGCTTATCAGAAACTATCCATGATACTCTGAATAAATACCCTTGGAAGGCTTAAACATTTTTGTGGGTATTAAAGGTTATTATATGGGTTTGGATGAGCACTGTCGCATGATGGTGTAAGTCTCTACAGTTACCATATGCTGATGAGCCAAAATTTTGACTTAATATCGGTCTAAGCTCTCTTAAGAAACCACCTCCAGTAAGCGACCACCCAGGCTTGACAGTTTGGGTGGTCGCTTTCGGGAGGTTCNCTCTTGTAACTTTACTAATAAAGCTAATTCGCATACTCCTAATGTGGAAAAACATACGAGACAAAAAGTTATGCCATTTTGGCCGCTATGTTGCGAAAGCGAAACTATTTTGTCGAAAAAGTTTCGTTCCGGTTACCCGGGCTAGAGCGTTCACATGGAAAAATTTTCATCCCGGTTACCAAGATCTCGGTCGCAAAAACCGAGATCTCGGTAACCGGGCCAGCCCGGCTTCTCATATGAACACATCGAAATTTTTACGGAGGAAAGAGTAGCGAGGCGAGATCTCGGAAACCGAGCCAGCCCGGTTAACCGGGCTGATATGAAGAGACCCTTAGGCTCTCGTAAGCGACCATTAGGGCTTGACATTTTAGGTGGTCGCTTACGGGAGGTTTGACTCTAGTTGTTTCACTTCAACCAACTGACTGATTGTCAGGTTAGGAGAAGATAAAGTGCACTTTACAGCTGCATTATTATTGTCGGTTTTCTGGTTGAGAAGTAAGGTAAACTCCAGATTTTATATGAAGCCTTCACAAACGCTTTTCAAGTGTCAGTAACGCTGGATGACCTGGAGCCCCCTAGAAGGTCACACTTGTGGCGCTCGCCATCCACACCAATAGCGTCCAAAGTTATTTCTGTTTACACCCTCCCCCCTCCCCGCCCCTTTCAGAAATTCCTGGATCCACCCCGTACAAGTAGCTGGAATGTCCAGGCCTTCATTGGAAGACTATCCAGGTTTGTTTAGTTTTTATCAAGGTGCATGACGATACTTTACAGCACTCTGTCGCTTATCATCTGATGGATTAGTACCAATCTTTATCAGTTTATGCTACAATAATGGTCTCGAACGATTAGCCAACCATTTGAGACAGAATTGAATGCTTTTGATTTTTAATCATATGGATCATTAGTTTGTAACAAAAAATGCAAAAATTAGTCACAAAATCTTCATGTTTCCGGGCAGCAGATCGCGCAGAGAGATGCTTATTAAGGCCGCGTATGGTAAAATACGCCAGCGAAAAGAATATTTATCTCGGAGTCACCGATACACCTTGCACGTTATATTTACTCTTGCAGAAAACTTAAACAACCATTACCATGCTTATCTATTAATATTTTCTAGGTAGGTCAAGTTTGCATACGAGCCAAGTGGCCCATCAGACTGCCGGGAGCTTATCTCGGTTTCTGTAGCATGAAGCGACTAGGAGTATTTCTGCTCCCCCCTGAATAGGATGCTAGTCCATTTTAAAAAACTCTGTACATAGGGTTCAGAGCCGCCTTAAAGTTTTGAAAATTTAAGGTGGCTCTGAACCCTATGAACAGAATTTTTTTAAACTGCCATAAGTTGCGTCTATCATGCTTATTAAAATTTGAAAATAGAAGAAAATTTGACCGTACCGTTTTTTGAATCATAAGCCCCTATACAGCTAAAGCCGTAATTAAGGGTTGTTTTAGCGTATTGTTGCTATGGTAACCCATTGTGTAAACCTATCAACCCATTGTGTCAAGTGATAACAACGTGTTCAATGATTCAATTATTGGGCCGTTTGTTGATACCGTGATGGCAGCATCAAGTGATAAAGAGCGGTTAATAATGACCCATCAGAATCGAAGCGCTGGAAACTGTTTTGAGCCACTTTAAGTTCGCCGGTACTCATTTATACACCTGGGTGGAGAGAACTGTGAGAGTAAAGTGTCTTGCCCAAGAACACAACAAAATGACCCCGGCTAGGGCTCGACCCAGACCACTTGATCCTAAGAGGAACGCACTAACCATGAGGCCTTGCGGCTACCGAGACCAGATACGACCAGCCATAGCAATGCATTACAGTTGGATCCCGCAGATTCGAACTCGCGGTTATTCAGCGAACTCAAAACCATTTCCCTCGGATTTGTTCTTCAGTTATTTACTATCGGCTATTTTGAACTCCCGCTATTTCGAACTATTTTTCGTTTTCCCTGGGAGTTCGAAATAGTGAGGTTCAACTATTTAAGGCCTAAAAGGAGCCAAGAGGCCAAATCAGACAAATCTGTATCGTGCATTATGTACCGGCCGAGGGAATATCTAAACACAAAGTTCTCGAATAATGTATTTAGGGATTAGGGCGTCTTTGTGGTGCACGTAACACTTACTAGCTAAAATCAAAGTTCCGTCCTTTCCCATCCTCGGAGACGCAGGGGCTACTAGCCGGGACGATGCGATATCTTCGGGCGAGCGATATTTTCGGGGGAAAAGTTTACTTCAAGCTCTTCAGCTCTTGAAGTAAACTTTCGCGCCGAAAATATCGCATCGTCCCGGCTAGTAGCCCCTGGGTCTCCCAGGATGGTCCTTTCCATTCCTTGGAACTGGTAGTGAGGCCTGGAACCGAGTTTCTATGATTTAGCCGAGCGAGACTAAGTACTGATTCGTGGGAAAGAAACATGGCGGACTTCCGTATGCGGAAAATGGTGGTAAAGTGTTCTAACCGTTTTGCTTGTTTCACGTTCAAACATGTAGGGAAAAGTTCTAGTTGCCCTACCTCTAAATTCTGGACATTTTGAGGGAGCGGGGATAAATATTGCACTGTAAACATGTGAGCAGGAACTCCACTACGAAGCAACATGCAATGTGGATGTTCATTTCAGTGTGAGCCAGATTGCAGTCGGTGTAATATTTCATTCGAGCATTTTTGTGTGTGTGTAGTGGTGTGATATTGAGGGGATAGATGTATTTCTGAGCTCCATGTTGGTAAGAGTTTCCTTTTTGAACAGCTTCGCGACCCTTCTGTCTGCACCTAATTAACTGACAGAGTTATACTGCAGAGTTATAGCACGTTTTATAGTGACAACAGTGGGTACGGCGCTTTTCTGTTACGTTAGATTGAGGATTTTGCCTGTCACTTAATAACGTTTTACTACAGGAGGTCTGTTTCAGTTTCAGACAAAGCATCTGGCATTATTTACCAAAGTGAATACTGGATAGGTCCCTCGGCAGAATTGGTCCATATTTGATACTAATAATTTATGTTTTTGTTTCTTCAGAATTATCTTCAGACATTTGTTTCGATCTTCTAGACTTAACTGTTTAAATAATGGGCCCCATCAAGTAGTTGTGATAGAGATTGCACAGGAAGTTTGACTTTACTACCTCATTTTGTTGCCCTTTCTGTAGTCCCTGGCACTGTGTTTTTTTGCTACCTCTGAAACAGTTTTCGAACAGTTCATGGTCCTCTATGGCACCAAGCATTGCCATTTGAGACAAGAACTTCTAAAGACTGCATTCATCTGACTTTATTTTAGCCTCCCTTATTGCCTTATTTAACTCTCCTTTCATTAAAGGAACTAGCTTCTGATTGGCAACACTTCAGGCCAAATTTGGTGTGCTTAAGTCCTTACTCATCTCTTTACCTTAAAGAAATAAAACGAATATCCCTTGCACTTGAAACAACTTTTGTTGATATTCTCCAAAACCTTGGAGCCAAGTATCAAAATTGGCCTAATCCAGCATTGTGGAGGTTCTATTGACTCGGGTTGTTCCCAACTACAGTCAGTTTTCTGGATAATGATCATTTTGCCTGTCTACCTCATTACTAGCTAGCACACACATACAGGTAGGGTCTATTTCATATCTCCCTTTGCAGATGAGTGTATGGCAGCTCAATTTTGATATCCAGAAATATGACAGAGTTTTCTTCCACCACACAAATAAAACTGATTTTTATCACCAGTACAAGCTATGCCAAAGCATGTGAGCAGAAGCTGCTTCTTTATTTCCACAGGCCAAGAAATTGTAAATAGCTTGTAAATGAAATACCTCAACGTAGTAAAAGTTCACACTGAGTCTGTGCATTCCCATGCAGAAGCTCAAGCAGGAAAATGCTTTCAAATTTGGGACTTAAAACTGGTACTGAACAGTAAGGAATGGAGGTTTCTAAAACCCTTACTACATGTATCACTGCATTATTTAAACATGCAAATCTTGTTAAGTGATCTGTAATTCCCGCCTTAAGTTTCATGATTTAAATCACTCGTAGAAAGTCTTCAAAATCAACATATCACCGGGAAATCATAAAGTAAATGAGGTGTTTCATAAGTAAATTAAGACGGATAAAACTGTAGCTAGAAAAGCTTATTTAATGAAAGCTCAAGTTTAAATATACAACTCTGAACAGTTCGCAAATATTTCGAAGACTTACATTCGGAGGCCTCGCGATATATGATGGCAGACATGAAACAGTTCGACATTGCTATTTTCCACATAAATTAGAGAAAACTAATTGCAAAGGAAATCTTCTCTTTCGTCGGTGTGAAGATTGGAGGTAACGAACTTTAAAATCTCCACAGGAAAATAAAAGAACCCTACAATAGTTACCTTCCTGATACGGCGACCAACAACGTGAAATCCTCCACGCTCAGCAGGAAAATGTCAGGCTGAAACTTGTCGCTAATCTGTCACAAAGTTGTCCCTTCATTCCATTAGTCCTGATTGTCTCAGAGCTGCTGCTAAAAAGAACTAAGAGCGAATAAAAAAGTTATCAAATCAAAAGGCAAATCCTGGACGGAAATGACGGTGAAACATGGTGTGGTTCCCTCGTGTCATGTTCGCGTTTTGGCATGCTCGCTACGCGGTTCTCAAATGATTGACAGATTTCTTTACTGGGGCGAAACCAGCAAATCGAAAGGCGGCGAGATCAGAGATAGCTGCATTTTGATTCTGTAAATTAGAGAAAATCCAGTGCAAGAAACCACTTCCTTACCTCGGTTGTGTGGTCTCGTATTTGCGATAGCCGTAACCATTCATTTGAATTTTGTTTCTTTCAACGCTGAGGGAACGACAGTCATCTAGCGATGAAATTCCTGAAGTTCGTTGTATCCATCATTCTCGAGCCCAAGCTACAGAAAAAGCGAGCAGGTTCGATGTTCGCTGTATCAGTATCTATCGACGGTTTTCTTTACGTGAACAGCTGGTATAAAGTAAAGGGGGGCATCTCCACTGGCACAGGACGAGGACAAACAGTCTTTAAGACGTCCTAGACTTAAGAGGTAGAGCATTCAACAATCGAGAAGATTACGAAGACGTTTCATGAGAACCCGCAAGCCTTAGCAACTGGTTCTTTCCGGCGGCCATGGGTACACAAAAGTTACCCGATTACGCAATATAATACAATNAATTAATTAGATTTTGAAACATTTAATTAGATCAATGTTAGCGTCTGTAGCAACTATGGCTTCAAGCGGCGAGCCAAAAAATACTCTATGCGGGTCCTCATGTACAGGGTGAAAAGGGCTTTGACGTAAACGATACCGATACCGGTACCGTGAGCCTACTCTTGTAGCATCGGGTCAGTTTTCAAGTGAACGTTACGAAGAAGAAACCGGAAACTCACCAGGGACGCAGTTGATTAAAAAATCCAATGCATGTTTTCGTGCAGCGTGAAACATGCGGTAAACAGATGAATAAGTAAATTGTAGTGTAAATTTTTTGGAATGCGAACGAGTGAAGTGAAATAAAAAGTATTTTTGGAGGGGTAATTCTCAACTGAACCTCGTAGTGTAATGTTGTAGAAGGGAGACCGGTAAGCGAGAGGTATGCGAAAGGTAAGTGCTTCGAGACCGGCAGGGGTACAAGAAAAAAAGAAAAAATGTGTAAGGAGCCTGGGTAATATGGAGAAGAAAAAGAGAGAAGAATGGAGCTAGGGGAAGAAGAGAATCGGTGAAAAGACAGCGCGCGAGAGCGCGCAACGAAATTCTCTTTTATTCATACAGTAAGTAGCAATTATAAATGTATATATTCAATAGACCACGAGTAGTCCCTCTTTCGCTTAGTCCGTCGTGCGTGACGCGAAAGAAAGCCGCGAGAAAAAAAATGACCGCGCGAAATCCTGGGGGTGAGAAGAACGGCCGCGCGAGGTCCTGGGGGCGAGAAGAACGCGAAAGGAGGGACTACCGCCTAAGCCCAAGAGGTTGCCCTTTCACGGGCGATTGTTCGTCGGTCGTTCGTTCGTCTTCCTTTCACAGCTTTTTTGGGGGTTTCGCGATCTCTTGGAATCATATGAAATGTATGGGGTTATACGGAAATCTTTCCCTTTTTTTAGCATATTTACTATTATCTTCGAATCCAACGCTTCGATAAAACCAAAACAAAATAGATTTTACACAGAATAAAGAAAACAATATCTGTAACATTGTCCGTGTATTAATATTTCAACACTGCATACCTGTATATATGATAACTTTCAGTCTTTAGGCTCTTATCTGCCCTTATCGTGATCACACATTAGAAAAAATTCAATGTAAACCCTCTTTGACTTAATATTTACTAATATTGGCTAATTTCTTGCCCTTTCCATAATGATTTTGCTTAAATTATCTTTATATTTCAGCTATTGGTATTGATCATGATTCCTTGTTTGAAAAAGATCAAGATATTCTTGTCCTTCCTTTGGACTTGATAAAATTTGACACACATGAAAAACTGACCCAGGATGTCCTCAAACACTTTGGAAAGGTACAGTGTCTTATTCTTGATTAATGTTATAAGAGTCAGAGTTTCAGACTATCACAGGCTGCAATTTTACTGGTTATGCTGAATCTGCATATCAAAACTTACAATAGTTTACGTTTTGGAAGGAGTTTGGAAAAAAGCCTGGAGTTTTTCTTTTATTTTCCATGCATTTTATTATCAGTCCATGGTAAATAATTTTATTGTGCTCAGTTACATGACAACATTTCATGTAATTAAGTTTTAACAGAGTGAACGTTTGTTTGATGGTTTGATGTTGCCATGAAATAAGTGATTTTCTTGTTTTGTGAGGTCACTCATATACTCCTGCAATGGACTGGTTTATTAACGTTTGTAGTACTTAGAACTTCAAATTGCATTTTTTATGGAAGATTAGCAGACGAGTGTCATTTCTTCTATATACGGACTATAGTGCATGTTGTTTTTCTTACTAAACTCTAATGCCCTTGAAAGTGCATTCCAGACTTTGCTGACTTAAAGAGCACAGTAAGGTTGATCGTAATATGCACTAAACCTTTGTTATTTTAGGAACCTTAATAGAAATTAAAAAATGAAATCTAACATGAGGTAATAATTAATGAAACAGTTGGTACAAGTACATTTGTTTTCTTAATGTAGGTTGACATTCTGGTGAACAATGCTGGTAGAACACAGAGAGGTTTGGTGGAAAAAACATCATTAGAGGTGGATAGAGCACTTTTGGATTTAAACGTTGTTGGTACCATCTCTTTGACCAAAGCAGTCCTCCCGCATATGATTGAACGTCATGAGGGGCAGATTGTGGTGGTGAGCAGTGTCGCTGGAAAAATTGGTAATGTCATTAATTTTAATTAATTTATTCTGGAAACTACGTCATTTTTCATTTATTTTTCCGCAGGAAACTGTTTTAATTAGCACTCTACTAACATATACATGATTGTGTATTATATAGATTTACCCAAGCATTAAAGTGGAGCTCCTGGCTGCTTTGTTCAAAGTCCAATTAAGCTAACCAATTTTGATTGGGAAGTTTGAGAATTTGAGAACTGAGAATTTTGATTTGAGTTTTGTAATTTTGCAGTGAAGTTTTCTGTTTTTATTTTTGGCCTTCTGTTTTGATTTTGAATAATCTCAAACTACACCAACATTTGTATAGAAGTTAAACAATTTGGTCAACTTTTAATCCTGGGCTAGCATTAACCCAATTACCAAACAATCTGGCCGTGATTACAACAAATTAACCTAACATGAGCCCACGATCCAATCGAAAACAAGGACTTGGTCAGCAGTCAACTTTAAAAAAACACATGACCTTGATGAGCTATAAACCTGAGCCCACAATACCGTCATGATACTGGTCAGCAGATACCTTGTTTTGACAGGTGTCAATCGATCATAATAGGGACGTCAAATATCAAAGATATACGCTGTAAACCAGGACTTGGTATTAGCTGGACTATGGGCACCATGTTGTGCTACGTCATCGTCGCTGGGGGTATGCGCCCGCGATCCATGTCGCTAGCCATGTTGACCATGAAAAAAGAGTTGCATGGTTTTCTATTTCTATGCATGCATGTGGGTCTGTTTCTATGGTTATGGTGCTCTGCTTTGAGACCCTTTGGGCTGCTGGAGCTCCACTGTTAACCTTAGCTACTTTTTTATTACTTTTCACTTGACATCAGGATATCATGACAATATTGAAACATTGTGCATTTTAAATGTGTTTTATTCTTAAATGTTTCACTAAATGTACACTGTTTAGTGGAATGACAGATAACCCCTCCCTTCTTTTCTCATTCTTTTCCCACCTCTTTGTTCTGTTCACTTTCTCCTAACTTTCTATTTTTCTATTTATTTATTTGTAATAAAAAACATTTGTAACTATATCTTGATAGACTGGCCCGCTGTAGACTAGCACTAGCTATCCACAGGCCAGTCCAACTGTAAAGTGTACATCGAGAAATAAAAAATAATTGATGACTACATTTAAGGAGTTTTGGGGTTTTTTAATATTTAATTATTAACTACATGGGTTAATATATAACTTATTAAACTTATTTATGAAACTTAAAAGTCTTGACGGGAGTGGCTGATGACTGACTGACTGAATGAATGACTGAATGACTGAATGACTGAATGACTGAACGACTGACTGAACGACTGACTGAACGACTGACTGAACGACTGACTGACTGCATGCCTGCCTGCCTCTCTTCCTGACTGCCTGACTGACTGACTTCCTGACTGACTGACCGACTGACTGACTGATTGGCTGCCTGACTGCTTAGCTGCTTGATTTCCCAACTGCCTGCCTGCCTGCCTGCCTGACTACCTAACCGCCTGACCGCCTGACTGCCTGACCGCTGATGGTCTGACGGCCTGACCACCTGTCCGCCTGACTGTCTGACCACCTGACCGCCTGACTGCCTGACTGCCAGACCGCCTGACTGCCTGACGGCCTGACTGCCTGACTGCCTGACTGCCTGAATGACTGACTGACTGCCACCCCAGATGGAAAAACCAACAGAAACCAAAACATCAAACTTTTGTCACTTCTAATATTTCTGTTCAGTGAATTTTTTTATTAATTTAAGTCCTCCTTGATCAGAATGTAAAGACCTACATATCATAGCCTCGTGGATTAAGAACCTCCAGCCTAGGCCTCTAGTTAAGCAGTTATATACCCTTATTAGCAAAAGATGCGAAGAAAACAGGTTTTTATAGGAAGGAATCAACTGAATTATGATGGTACGTCAAAATGTGGAAAAGTTAGTTTTTTGGTCAAAACTTCCTTTGAATTGTCAGCCTCCATACAGTAAGTAGACAGGACATGACCTTTCACCCAGTGAAGTCTCAGAGCTCTAGATTTGTGGTGATTCAATATCATTGTTCTGTTGGGTTCCAAAAGTTAAAATAATTATGCAGGATCAGTGTTGTTAATTAAAAGCATGAATTAGTCCTCTATATAAGCTTGCAGTTAATTTTTAAGAAGAAATTAAGAACCTATTGAAGAACCTAATTAACCTAAATTGTCATAAATATAACTACCCCCAAATATCAGAATGACTTGTTAACCTGCTTAGCCTGACTTTGAAAAATGTAGGTTTTTATATGGGGGTTTTAAGGTGGTGAAGTTTTGTCAGTACATTTGTGGGAATATTGATAACTATGCTATCATTATTTAGAATACATGAAATTTTTAAAATATTTTTCACAGAGACACCTTTCATGGCAACTTATTGCGCCAGTAAACATGCATTGCAGGTATGTGATCGGGATCAAAATGCTGTTAAACAAACTTATTTAATGATTGTAAGCTATATTACCGACAGCCATTCTCGAGATGTGGCTTCTAACAATGTCAAATCAAGACCATCTAGTCCTTGCTCACATAGTACATTTCCAAGGAAACAACGGTATTTTTGCTCAATCACCAGCCACAGGCTGGTCGAGAGAGTGGCCAAGTCCATTAGAAAATTTTGAAACACTTTCTTTCAAAATACATGCTTGCATTACAACAAAACACTTAACACTACTGGCCCCACAGGAAACATTTGCTTTTGTATCCCCTCAAACCCCAGTGCTCCCTAATGGCTCTGCCTTGGGGAACAACACTAAGTCTAATGGCCTTAAAATACATCAGGTACTTACTGCCATTATCATTTTGGTAGGGCTACTTTGATACTGCACGGCTGGAGCTGACTGAGCACAACATTCATGTACAGACCGTTCTACCAGGACCTGTCGAGTCAAACATCGACCTTTCTGCTTTCACTGAAAACATCAATGATGTCAATGATGTAAGAAAAAAATGTGTTTTGATTGATATCTTTACAACTTGTAAATAAGCTTGGATTGGCTTATTGATGTATGATACAGCCAATTAGAATACAGGAAAGCTGTTGTATACTCAATGGTATTTTACCCAATCTTCGCGTCAAGCGCTTTGTTGATTATTCCGTGTTGGCCACTGTATTTTCTATGAAATGATATAAAATGGTTACCCAAAACTTTCTCGTGGTGTGCCATGGAATATCCCACTTGTCACTTGCATTTTCTTGGTATACACTCTCACTTTGAGGCTAGCCTGCAGAACAGGCGTAATCTTTTTGCGTATTTTATCGAACAGAGGCGAAAGCGAGGCGAGCGGGAAGCGCGAGTCATGCGCGAGGGGAAGAATTTTTTTTCGCGCTCTTCGCCTCGCGCGCAACTCGCTCCTGCTGTGTTTGATTATATCTTCTCAATCTAAACCAAAACTAAGGAGAAAACGGAGAAATAAAATCATAAAACTTTATGCTAATTATTAAACTCATAATTATAAAGCACATAAAACTATGCTAATTTACGGTCATGAATTCCTTCGTTTAAGGTTACAGTATACCTTCGGGTCGGCAATTTTCTTCAAATTTGGATTTTTGGGTCAAAATAGTNGGATGTAGCTAATAAAACACCAGGCTGGCTAGAAAACAAGCCCAGCCAGCTTTTCCTCTTTTTATATCACGTGAACAGAACACGTTCGAATGCTGCCATAAACGATGTAAATTTCACAACATACATGTAACCGTCAACGTTTGATTGGTCAAAAGTGACACAAAACCTTCAACGCTTGAACAGTAAAACCAGGGGAATGATCCTACGCGCTTAATCCGTCTGGCTTCAGGGATGGACACAAATGGTAGAGGGCTCCTCTTTTTGGAAGGACGGCATTAAATTGCATCGTTATGGTACTGAGAAAATATCTTTGGCAGACTATTGTAGTACAAATGGCATAGGAAAGATCACAAGAAAATTACATTTTGAGACATGCTTAAAAACTACATGTAAATCAAGGCGTAGTAAAATTATTGTTCTAACGATGCGTTTCACAAACCACAAAGTGGTATCCTCTCCATGATTCGGAGTCACCTTGTTGATTTCTTTTTGTATTTGTTGTAAGGTTGGCCAGCGGCAGCCTGGCTTGTTTGGTTTCTTGGAGAGGACACTCGCAAAGACTCAAGATCACATTTGGTTCGAGAGAACAGAAATGAAGGACAGACTAATTGTAACAAGGAGGTACTTTGAAATCTTATTCGTTTTCTTTTGCGCAACCCTCAATATAATCAATCGCATCCATAGCTTACTAGCATAGTTTTAACTTAAATGTAATTTATGGTAGCTGCAATTTGTTTTCTTGATATTCTTCAAACTTGATTGAGGAAAGGAACCTTAAAGGGAGGGGATATCCGTCGGGTGGGGTGGGGGGGATTGCGGTGGGTTAGGGGAGGGGTGGGGTGTATTGTAAATCCCACATTGGTAATGAAGGAGATTTTGTTTGTACAAGTATCTTTCCATCTGTTCCATCAGTCGAAATCTTCGTGTTCAAAAACGATATTGGAAGTCATGTAACGTTTAACATTCATGGTATAAAATTATTATGCATAATGCAAAAGTATGTTGCACACTCTTAAACTGGTATTTCAACTCCTTCAGGTTGAGAGAACATGTAGAGGATGCCAGTAAAAACCCGATATTAATATTTCCAGAGGGTGAGTAGATTTTGGACTCTTCTCCGTGTTTATCTATCTTCCTGTCCTTACTCTGTTTTTAATTTTCGTGTTCAACTAACGACCAATCACAGACGCCACACGAATCCCTGTAGTGTTACGTCATCAGTAAGGCATTTTTAGGGTCCAGTCTCCAACGTCCGTTTTGCGTTGGGGCAAGATTGAGTCCAAGGAGAGCGGTGTGAAATTAAAATCGTGATCTTTCTAATCTTTGTTATTTCTTCCCAGGAACATGCATTAATAACACATCCGTGATGATGTTCAAAAAAGGAAGTTTTGAGATTGGCGGAGATGTCTATCCTGTCGCTATAAAGGCAAGTCCCTCTTACACGTTATTTTCGTCTAGCAAGTACATGTCAAAGTGGATGTCGGTTTGTCGATGAATGTAGTGTACACGTAACTGTTTACAGTAGTTCGCACTTTGGCATCAGCAATTCGAAAGCTCTATCAGCTGCGCTGTTACCTGACGAATCATAGACCTGATGTTGTAAGATATCTAGGGAGATTTGCGAAGAAAGGACACACTCAGCATTTTGCTGTAGCCGCTTTTAAAACGAAATGCTGCAAACTAGTTTAACGTGAAAACGATAGAAGACGAACAAGATCTACTGCAATCTGTTTGACATCGAAATTCACGTATAACAGCGTGCGAATTTTTTCGCGCCAAAAGCTGGCTGCTGCTCCACCCGTGTTACGTCACAAACTAGCTTTTGTCTTCGAATTTATTTATCTCTTCGTGTTTATCTAATATATTAGTTCTTCTTGAAACTCTCACTCTACCTTTAATCCCCCATTCTACTCTCCTGCAGTCCATTTGTTGTAAAGGTTTCCCTTTTTTTTTCTTTGCAGTATGATCCCACATTCGGAAATGCATTTTGGAACTCAAGTGCTGAAGGATTTGCATTCTATTTGTTCCTTCTCCTGACAAACTGGGCACTAGTCTGTGACGTGTGGTATCTTCCGAAAATGACGCGTCAGGTAATGAATGAAAATAGAGCAGTTTTTGCTTGAGTATGGAAAGTATTTTGCATTTTGTGTGATTTCGCTTTAATTTGCTTTGTGATTGGTTTAAAAAAAACTGGCGCCACTTTGTCATCCAATCAGAAGTTAAAGTAAACCAATCGTGAGTCGCTCGCACGCATTTTCCCGCGCTTAGTGCCGGCTACACGCATTTGCTTTGGGTTTCGAATGGTTCAGTGGATTGTCTGTGTAATTTGTGATTGGCCAGAGTATTTTCTTTGGTTTTCGTTTTCTGATACTCAGTTGAAAGTTACCCTTAGTATCTTATAGGAGGTTTGGGGAACTTCGCTAGAGACTAAGAGGATTCAACACAAAACGATTTCACCTAATTTTCAATGCCAGTTGCGAGTTTCTGCAAGCGTCTAAGGACAATCTAAGTCTTAAAATTAAAATTGAGAAGCGTTATATATTTAATCTGAAAAAAAAAAAAAATCAGGGAATCGAAAAGCAACGTTGATCAGCCATCAGAGTTGAATTTACTGTTTCACTAAAATGCAATGTCTGTTGAACCATATCAACTCTCAGTTCAGTTTGAGAAAGCGTCGCCGAACTCTTATCCCCTATTTTCTTCATCTACTCTGTCTCGTTCAGACTTGGCACTGTTTACATTATTTTGCTCTGTAGTAGGGATCAATGCCATTTTGCAGTTGAGCAAATTTCTTTCTGAACTACCCAAATAGTTTTCCAAGAGTTTCCCTCTAATAGGAGTGCACACGACCTATAGTAAGCTATCACGTGATTTAGTCGCCATGACGATAAGTCAACATCGCTACCGATAACCTCGCATTAAGGTACTCGAAACTTTCATGTTCATTCGATTGTATTCAAGTGAAGCAACTAAGTCTTCATTGCATTTTCAGGAGGATGAGAGCGCTGCGGAGTTTGCGAGTCGCGTCAAGACAGAGATCGCTCGGCAGGGAGGACTTGTTGACCTTATATGGTACGTTTTCTCAATGCGTTGTTTTGCTCACGGTAAGCGTATAGCAAAGTAGCACCCCTACCCCCTATCCCTACTGTCCCTCCCCCCCCCAAAAAAAATAGTTCAAATACCTCCGAATGTAGTACGTACTGTGGACATTGTTTTGCCCTCCACATCGGTATAGTGTCTTCTGAGACGTTTACACGTTCAAAATTAGTAGAGTATTACGGCTTGTGTTGATTCGTACAGTTTTATTTGGAGTTAAAACATTCAGTTTGTTACGTTTAAAATTGCGCATACGTTTTGAAACCTGACCTTTTCTGAAACAATAACTGAGTAGGCGGGCGCGTCAAACGGTTTTTTTCTTGTTCCATGGAGTGGGGGCAAGAAAATAGATTTTTGAAGAGAGGTCACGCTACCGAGCTTTGACGAAATTAAGCTTTCGTAGTCATGTTGGTATGAGAATTTTGAACTCCGTGGGTCCAATCAGGAGGTTTCAAAAACCCAATGTTTCGCTACCGAGGCTACTGCTGCTATCGACAGATTCTATTGAGTCAACAAGTTCACCTCAAATGTTGCTTTTTCTGTTTTCAGGGATGGACAACTGAAGCGTACTTCTGTGAAACCTGAATTCAAACAACAAAGGCAAGAAGACTACGCCAGCACGCTGAAAATTGAATAAGCTTTCTAAAGTTTAAGAAAAGTGGGGAAAGAGAGCACTCGGTGAAGGAACGCCGAGGACTGATTAACTCGTGAAAGAAAATGTTTTCTGTCCAAGCTTAAGCTGGAAATATCGGAATGTTTATTCTCCTTACTGAGTCCCATATATTTCTTTAATATGAGTATTAAGAATATAGTGATACATCAAGGGAATATCTCCTAGTTAATGAATATTTTTGTTCTCATCATTGACTGTGCCATTAGCAATTTAGGAAACTTCAATTTGTCAAGTGGGTAGGGTGAAAGGGGAAGTGGGTAACAGATTTATATTATGTGACCTGGAAGAGTAGTTCTAGTTTTATAGACAGGGACTATGGGAAAAAATAACCGTTATTCTTTGCTGCACAATATTTTTGCTACCTGAATAGTTGTGATATTCCGAATGGTGCCAAGTCAATACTTTATCAATAGAAGGGAAAATACTTTGTTCTTGACTATTTGGGCAAGCTGCTACACGTTGCAAACCTGAATCATAAGTATTAAACCGTACATAAAAAACCAAACATTCAAGGTATCAGTGGAACTTGAGAAAACTTGCAGGGGACTGGTGTCAACGCAGGAAAAGTGCGCTTACGTCAAGTCACGTTACACCTGATTGGTTGAGAAAACCGAATCTTTCCTTTGATTGATTACAACACGTATCACGTGTTCCTCAGGACGTAAATTGGTTTTCATTTGCTTGCTTATTCAAGAATTAACTCTTTAATGTGTCGACGTATGTTTGACTTTCATTTTTCTTTAAATTTTGAATTTTAAAACGAGGCTGCGTTCTTCTTCAACTACTTAGTGAAGAGTTTCATTGCTCACGAAAAGCCCGCAGAATAAACACCGCTAATATTTCCGTGAAAAAAAATACTCGTAAATAAATCAAAAAATCAAAATCAAAACAAAGCAAAATGAGATTTCAAAAAAGAAAAGCAATGACAACTTTGAAACAACTCTCTTGCTTTTTCTCATTTTGCCTCCTGCCTCAAACAGAAAATCCTTGGATTTACTTTTGTAAGTGTCAAAACTAATTAATCGCAAATGTTAATATATTGAAGAGATGCGAAGAAGCAAAAACTTTATTTTAATCAAGTCTTGTGAGAGACAATCATAATATTCCTTTTGTATTGCGTAGTTTGATATCTGCCTCTGAACCGGGCTCTTCAACCCCTATTTAGATCGTCACGCAAAGTCTGAGGGAAGATCTCTGTTTTATTTTATTGATAAGTTGATGTTTGTTATGTAGTTGTGTTTAGCGTCACAGTGACATCTGTAAATGCAAATAGAAAAAGCTTGGTTGACGTCAGGGGTTAAATAAAGTCATAAAAAAAATCTGAAATGTACGCCACTGCTGTCAGTTGCCTTCTTTGAGTTGTCACGCAACGTTTCGTGTCCTTAGCCAATAAGGCACCGTCCACATTGCGCCGGAGAAATTTGAAAACGCAGCTTTATTTCTACGGTTAGGCCTACTGACCACACCAATCCGTCACGAAAACGGACCTTTTCGAAAACGCTCTTCAAACCAGGGGAAGGGTATTCCTGTACATTCTGATTGGCTGTATTTTCTATGTCAATGCATAGAAAATGGTATAAACCTCCATAGGAAACAACTGGCTCATGGCCAGGTCAATTTTTATCAGTGCTGTAGCAAATTTCTTGGTTGCGTCAACCAAAATATTGTTGAATAAATATTTTATTCAAAAACCAGAATAAAAGACGTCCAACCAGTCAATATGCTTGGGTTGCAGTAAGATCCTGTGCGTATAAGAACCTAAGTTTTTTCCAACTAAGCCTAAAATGGTTCTTATCCTCGGAAGGACTGGACGCAATGTCTAAAAAATTTAAGAGGGATTACCTTGGGTATAAGGCCTATATTGGGGATTCACTCTCTTACCTTGATAATCTCTTGTTCTTATATAATATCTATACACTGATTTTCTAAATATTCACCTTTTTCAAATTTTTGGCTGAGTACAACATTCATGTACAGAATGTTCTTCCAGGACCTGCCAAGTCAAACATCTCTTTATTTTTTCACTGAAAGCTTACTTATGTAAGGAAACGACATAAAAACTCAAGTTGAATCTCAATGTTTCAGTAACGGAAATTTATGTCAATTTCAAATTAATGACCACTCCATTAAATTTCGCGTTTTCCAAAGAAAATAGATTGTGTTACGAGGAAGCTAGCTAGTGACGTAGTCAAACCTTTTTTCTTTTTAATCTGAAAAATGAGCATTGCTCTTGCAAATACTGATTTAGAAAAGACCATTTTTAACGCTGAAAACAAGTTTCAACCTTAACTACAGAGAAACAACAAGTTTTCTGCCACAGTTCACAACTGTACTTTATTATTTTTTATAACATACCATAGAAAATAGAGCCAATCAGATTACAGGAAAACTGTTGTATATTCGACGTTCTTAAACCCATTAATAATTCATCAAGTTAAAGCAAAGAAAATCACAATCTTGAAGGAGATTTTTCCTTTTAATTAGCGTAGATTTTGACGGTTTTACTTCTCCGTTTACCCTTAGTTTTTGTTTCGATTGAAAAGATATATCAAACACTCTAGACAGTGTTTCATCGGCTATCCAAACACCTCCAATTTCGTCAAACATACTTCGCTGAGCTCTCTTCTGACTGTTTAGATATCCCGATGAAACGCTGTCTCTCGTGTTTGATATATTACGTATAACATCCAACTTCCCATCATGCGCAGCGAGTGCGTCGCATATTGTGTTGGCCACTGTATTTTCTATGGCATGGTATAAAATAGTAATGCGATACTTTCTTGTGGTATATCTTGTAATATCCCACGAGTCACTTGTAGTTTCTTGGTATAGACACTCGCCTAAAGGCTCGTGTGTATACAAAGAAAATGTATAGGGGCAAGCAGCCTTGCAATGGACTAGCATCCCATCCATGGGTAGACTGCTGGCGGTCTGTTTTTCTCTCGAAATTCAGTAGGTTTATGAGACGAGACGTTTACAGTGGCTAAAGGGGAATGGGACGAGACATGGGCGCGGCACGCACGAGAAGAAAAACAGACGGTTTTTCCTCGTCTCGCGTTCTTCCCTACTCGGCCATACCGCCCTTGTCCCGCCTTCTTCCCCACTCGGCCACCGCCATACCGCCCTTTTGCGTTCGCGATGACGTAACACTCGTCCTAGTGACCCTTAGAGAAAAACCCGGCTGCCAGCTGACTAATCCATGGGAGAGAAAAATACTCCTAGTCGCTGCACAAAATTCGGGATAAGCTCTAGCTGGCCTTACCCAGGATGTACCTACATTACCTTAAGAAAACTTTACACATTTTCACAGCTTTCCACCAGAATGTTTGGTTTTACACCAGTGAATATATGAAACATAATATATTTCAACTGCGGGATACTGACTCGGGATACTTATGCACACGAGAAGTCATCGCAGTTATGAACGCAACTTAGAGCAGATACGTATACAAGATGTCGACTGTGCGCTGTACACATTTAATGGTAGTTGGCATGGTAAGCATCTTGGATGACACAAACTTGCTATTGTTTGACGAAAGCAATGACAGAAAGCGACTCAAAGATCGATGTCAAAAGAAAAACTTCATGTTATTGGGCAGAAGTTTGCGTAGAGAGATACTCGATACCAACCTCGTTCCCAGGGCTACTGGGAGGAGTGGTAAGCCCCTTCCAATCTCTAAGGGAAAGTCCCTGGGAAAGAGGTTGGAATTTCCCTTAGGCTAATATTCAGGTGGACGAGGTATAAAATATAGGACGTGTGTGAGAAAAATAAGCCAGTGGAAAAAATTTCACTCACCGATATAATTTACCAACGGCCATTTTCATGTTCTCTTCAGGCAAAAAATTACGATTTTCAATTTTTTGATATTTCCAGACAGCGACTCTTGAGATCATTCTTCATTCATTGTCCCTTATTCCTTTCGTTCCTTAGTCCTTAGTCCCGGTCCCGATTCCTATTCGTCTTTAATTTTTGTTTTGTCACGGTTTGGTCACGTGTCTTCTAACATAAACACTGTATAGTTTCAGACGCAGGCCATAAACGAATATGGGGGGCAGAAATTTCTTGATTGCTGCAGTTCTTGTTCCTCTCGTTTGTTTCTTACTTTTTAAATTCCAAGATGGTGATTTTACATTGATGATTTATGAGAGAATCGGCCAAGATCCAGCGGTTGCTTTGCGCGGCAAAGTGGTCTGGATTACTGGCGCTTCGAGCGGTATTGGTGAATATTTGGCTTACGAACTGGTCAAATATGGCTGCAAATTAGTACTGTCTGCGAGAAGGAAGGCAGAATTAGAGAGAGTCAAGAAGAATTGTGCAGGTAGGGTTAATCACCATTCTCGAGAGACTCAAATGACAAAGACCTCGGCGGCCATGTTGGATGACAGGAACAATCGGATAAAGATTATTGTTCTTTAACTAAGACATTTCTGTTTCCGAAACCTTCCCTTGGCTAAGTGGAGGAGTGCTACTCTAAGAGCTGGTTAAAAACTCCTTGGAGGTTTCGAGGACCATGCTATACAGGATAGTATGTGAAACGATCGTCCTTTTCAGTCGCCAGCCTCGATTTCAGGCTCTCACGCTCTCTCTCTCCTTTGCGCCGTTTGTCTTTCCCTTGTCATGATGTCGCTGAACTGGGGTGAGAGACAAAGAGGCAAAAGAGAGAGATCCTGGGATTGAGGTTGTTCAGTCACTTGCTAAATTGCCCCTAGCCACCCCTCACCCCACCCCACTTCTGCACGCCCCCTGATCTCCTTAACAAATTAACTCAATGGTAAAAAATATTCAAAGTACACCTGTCCAACCCTTAGTAAGCAGCCACCTCCCATTTCCCAAGGGTGGCCGCTTAATAGGGGTTCGACTGTATTATGACTTTTTCTATACACAACATTTTCCCATGTAGTGTATAATATATATTATATTTTGTCTCATCCACCAATAATTTTTTCCTTTGAAATTTAAATTTCAGCCATTGCCATTGCTCATGATTCCTCATTTAAAACAGATCAAGATATTCTTGTCCTTCCCTTGGACTTGCAAAAATTTGACACACATGAAAAACTGACACAAGATGTCCTCAAGCACTTTGGGAAGGTATTGTATTCCCTGGCTGATATTTGAAATATAACATTGATCAGAGTTTCAGACCATGGCAGATTATACGGTAGCCTGTCTACAGCCGACCCCTTCCCTCAAATTAGGTAGCGAGACGTCTGTGTAGCGGCATCGTTAATCATGTTCCTCACTCCGGGTGGTGCCCCTGGAATGTTTGGAACGTACACTGATTGGTTGTAATACTAATCCGCATTACGTAAGACATTTCCTGTCTTTTAGTTGGTCAAGCGACCATTTTCTCCAAATACCGCACCGGTTATAGAAACCAGTCATCAAACGTTCTCACAAGCCACAGAAGGTCTAACATTCTCACATATGTACGAGTTATGCTAGTAGCTACAGACGTCTGTACCGAAAATACCGGCAACTGATGAGATCCACATGGAGGATCAAAACCATTGTTTTGCCTGAACAAAGCCAATGGAATGTACAGCAAATCTTTCAACAGACTTGTACATAAAAAGCAGCGACATTTGATTCATGTGGTGTCAGAGCAAACAAAGGAGGTATAAAAACTAAGCAAAAAGCTCGAGAGACAAGAACTGGATCAAATTGATGCAAGAAATGTAAGAACATCTCTAGACAAATGAATAACTTTCTTGAAGTAAAGCTATGTACAGCAGTCTCCGACAAAATCAGACGAAAAGAAATATGATATCCGTGGTAAGAAAAAAAATATTGTACGTGCAAACAGTTCTTATCAAACAGCCAGGCCCAGCATCACAATATATTGATGTAAGTAAGCAACAAGTTCACGGAATATTTCAAACTTTGTTCCTCCAGAGAGCTTAAAACATATCTTGCAATAGAATTGAGCCTAAACAAAGTATAAGCACAGAGGTGTCAAACTCTGTGAGGCAACATGCAGATAACATCCAGGAGATAACAATGGAAATCATGCAGACCATAAAAAAATTTACTGTAGCACAGTCAAACAGCTCCACCCTATGTAAAATTCCTCCTGATAGCACAGCATAAAGTGCCCTTCAGAAACACATGTGAAGCAAAGAAAGGTTGAGAAAATGAAAATCTAAAGAAAATGGCAAATGCGTAAATGCCATGAACTGTAGGAGTCTTGGAGGCCTGTCAACGCAACAGTTTGACACTAATTTTAATTTATGCAATTAGTTCTGGAACATGATCAGCGACGCCGCTACACAGACATCTCTCTCCCCGATTTTTTTTTTTAGGGGAGGGGGCGGCTGTACAGAGGCAAATTCTACGGTCACAAAAAGAGTTGGTGGAAAAAAACATCACACTTAGAGGTGGATAGCACGCTTTTAGATTAAACATTGTTGGTACAATCTCTTACACTGAAGCTTGGGTAAAGTAATATTATTAGGGTTTATAGAGAATTACATGTAAGAACTTCAAATCGCACCTGATATGGAACAAGCAGTTATTTAGAGCTATTTATTGACTACAGTGCTTGTTGTTTTTCTCAAACTCTCGCTGATCATTGTACTGACTTCAAATTGTGCTTTATAGAACATGTAAGAAAGCTTTGTTGAACCAGAAAAAAATTTAAAAAATGAAATCATAATTTTTTTTTCATCATAATAGATTGACATTTTAGTGAACAATGGTGCTAGGTCACAGAGATCATTGGTGGAGAAAACATCATTAGAGGTGGATAGAGCACTTTTGGATTTAAATGTTGTTGGTACCATCTCTTTGACCAAAGCAGTCCTCCCGTGTATGATTGAACATCATGAGGGACAGATTGTGGTGGTGAGCAGTATCCTGGGAAAAAATGGTATATGATGCCATGAATGTAATTTTTTGTAATTACAAGAGTTGTGGGTTTGTCAATTAAAATATTTATTGACTGCCAGGTTAAAAAGTGACAAGCAACTTTTTTATATTCTTCTCAGCGGCACCTTTTATGGCGACTTATTGTTCCAGTAAACACGCATTGCAGGTATGTATTCAGGATCAAAATGCTGTTAGACAGTTCTTGAGACAAACCAGTATGGCTAAATTACACAACATAATTACTTTCTTAGTTTACTTCATGTCAAATTAAGACTCTACTTTATAGTTCACATCACAGGGAGCAGATGAGTCCTATTTGACCTTATTTCGTATTAAATTCTCTGAACAATTGAAGGGGTGTGTGAAATAAGGACTTAAGTGACTGTTGATGAAATGCCATCCTCTCCTGGTGTCTCACAAGGGAATAAAGGCACTCTGGAAGGAGATTCTAACAAATTTATCAGAAGTCACTTAGGGATTTTTTCCAGGCACCCCTTCAATTGTAGCACGAATTGGTCTGTTGTTGATTCAAATCATTCAAATCACTGCCTTTGATTTTTAACTGTACACAATTCTTGTGATTGTTGAAATCCTATCATTAAGATGAAGGCAGCATACAGTAATGATGTGGGCTATCACACGGGGTGATTTCACCAGATGCGAGACACGATTCCACATACAGTTTGATCATGTATAGTGATTTGAATCAACAACAGATCGAATCACGCCACTATTGTTCAGTGAAATTAACTGGAAATACAATTAAATAGGACATCCTCTGCTCCCTGTGTTTGTAGAAGACACTTTGCCCTCCAGTCACACTCTAGGGGTAAATTCCATACAAATCCTAAGCTGCCATAAAATTTTTGCATTTTGGTTTAAGGACCTAGAATTTCCTGTTCTTCCTAATATTTTACCCCCACCCCCCATTTCTGTCTCCAGTAGTTACTTATTCTAGCCACTTCCTTTTGTAGTGATAAATAGGAGAAAAGGTTTTTGGAGGGCACTATTTTAAACATGCCCTTTCCAGTTCTTAAATTCATATAGCTGTCGCTAAAAATAGATCGGTCATGTGACCAAATTACGCATTGAAAGGGCTATTTTAAAATGAATTCTTTCAGAATCATTTTGCTTGGGTAACAAAACTCTTAATGTTGTCTTTATGTACTGGTCCCACAGGAAAACAGTTAGTTTTGTTTCCCCTCCTAACTCAGTGCTTCCTAAAGGCTCAGTGGGGAAACAACACTTTAAGACCTTGGCTAGAAAATACTTTAGTACTTATAACCATTATCATTTTGTTAGGGCTACTTTGATACTGCACGGCTGGAGTTGGCTGAGCACAACATTCATGTACAGACTGTTCTGCCAGGACCTATCGAGTCGAACATCACTCTTAATATTTTTGCTTCGAATATCAATGACGTAAGATTTTTTTTTTTAATTGGTATCTATATGACTTCTTACAGAAACAGTGTCAGTGGCAGGTTTTTTTCTCTACAATTATGTCATGGATGTTAACCCCATTAAACATCGTATACTTTGATTGGTCAATTAACAGGGTATAATATGTTGTAACTGTACATGCCCAAATGCGAGGCACCTACTGTAGACATGAATACTACTGAACAGTGCTGACTTGTGGCAGAAACTAATTTTGCATGTTAATTGAATGAAGAGGTATCAACAACTTTACATTCAGAAATGTAATTATATAACCAATTCAGTTTTTGTCACATTATGAAGTAAATTTCTAGTGACTCTGAAAGGCTATTGTCCTTGTAGGGGCCTAAAGATGCACCAAACCTACCTGAAATAAAAAGGATGTCAACTGAGCGTTGTGCAAAGTTAATGGCAGTAGGAATGGTAAACAATTTGGATGAAGTTTGGATTTCAGAGAACCCGTCCCTGCTACTGGTCTACTTAAACCAGTACTTGCCAAACCTCTTTAGATGGTATGTTGCTCATTGTAAAAAAAAAGTGGTTTTGTGGTGATACAGTTGGACCCCACTGATTCAAACCCAGCGTTTGTGTTTCAAAATCCCTGTTTTTTAATGTTGTGGCATTTCTATCAAAACTGCTTTATAATGTCTTTTCTATCTCCAGGATTTCTAAGAAGCTCTCTTTGGAGATAATAAAGAGATCTAGACTTCCCACGGACAAGAAATCTTCATGAGAAAAATCAACAAGTGATGTAGACCAAGAAAAATGGAATGTAGAACAGCCATGAAAATGTAATATTACTGTATCTCCCCCTTCCCCTCTACATGGGAGTCCACTCATCAGTCCTGTATTCACAACTTAAGGTAATTCCCCTGAAATAAAACTGCCAATGGATTTTTGTTCAAACTTTGTCCAATGAATTTTTATCATATGAAATTGTAAATTGTAAAATAAAAAAGGAGGGTGTCCATGCTCGTTAAGGAACAGTGAGGCATTGAAAATGTCCCATTTTAGCGTTATTTAATGCTTATTACAAGAACGCATTCCAAGTTATTGTAAACTCTTTGTGAGCCCAGACTCATGAAAACACGTCTCATACTACAGTCAATACTTGTTTCGGACACAAATAAGCTTTTTTAAGTGATTTTGACACACAGCTGAATCTTTGTTAAAATATTGGAACCAAATTGCTTGCCAGGGCTATCAAACTGCAAAATAGAAAAGACTACAGTGCAGCTGCTGTTTTTCTTAGTTATTCAATTTTCAAACATAGAAATCAGATCAGTCTTTTCTCACGCAAAGCTAATGATTAGTTGATTAAAATGACTGGAAAAAAATTTGGGGTGCCCGAGCTCGTTAGTAAGCTATAGCCATTTTTCAACTGACAGAACTCAATATCAAGGCAAATCCGCCATGTTTTCAATGTGCGCGTGCACGAACGCGCGCTAATGACGCCATAAATTATGCGCAGTAAGGATGCGCAATGCAATACTGGGGAATGACCTTAAGTAGCCTTTCACCGATTGTACAATTTTTTTTATATGCGGCATACAGGTCCAGTTTTTTTTTTAAAGAATGGAAAACGCTCTCCATCGGATAAATCACTATCCAGTGGATAACTGTTGACAAAACAAACTACGCTATTTGCTGTGTAGTAATTTATCCTGTGGATAGTGTTACCTGTACTTTGAAGAACTGGGGCCAGAACAGCAGCTACTGCAAACTTTATCAGATAATCAGCAAAGTCAGAATAACAGAATGTGTAACTTTTATAAATTCAGACCTGATCTTGTGGATGTAGCATTGATTTAAACATTTACCTGCATACTTTATCAGAGAGACAATGTTATTCATATGAAATGAAAAAAAAAAAAATTAGTCGAACAGAGTTCACAAACCCAGTTGAACAAAACAAGAATAGCAAGTAATTGGTTAGTTATTTTACTTAGTTATTCGTTCTTTTTCATTTAGTTAGTTATTTGTTGTTAGGCGCATTGAGTTTAGAAGTACAATTATTAGTATATTATATATATTACGAACTTTAATGTCTTTTTTCAATTAACATTTAAACAAAGTTGTAGGAAATTTAGTAATGTGGAGTTCACAGGTAGAATAAAATCAATTGACATGGTGTACTTCCTACAATCTTGCAACGTTGAAAATCGGCATTTTTTTTGTCTTGACTTGTACCCAACGTCTACTTGGGTAGAGAGTTATAACTGAAAGAGGCCCGTGTATAGATGAATCCTTCCCCTTGATCAAACGTTCGTAAACTTGTCCGGAAATAAAACCGAATCTGAATACGGGCAACCTTCAACTCATCCTAGATTCAAACCATGGCCGAAACAAACTGACCTGATGTGTCGTCTATCGATTTTGGAAAGGAAAAAACAGTTTTGGATCGTAACAAACTGGCTTTCTGTTCGTAAAAATTAAGTTTTGGGATTAACGAACAACGGTTTTAGGTTTGTAAAAAACCGGTTTGGGGTTTCGCGAGAAACCGGTTTAAGGATCTTAAAAAAACTGGTTTCGAGTTCGTAAAAGACGGCTTTTGGTTCATAAAAAGGGATTTTAGGACCATAGAAAAACGGTTTGGGGTCCCAGCTGGATACGTAAAAAGCTGGTTTAGGGATCTTAGAAACCGGTTTTGTAATCGTAAAAACTGGTTTCAGGCTTGTAAAAACCGGTTTTGGTTCTTTTAGGAATTTAAAGGGGCCTTAAATTAAATTAATTCGATCAGACGCGCCTTGTGGCTGTATGTGGTGATGCTTGATGTTTGGTTTTGTAAAAAACAAACTGTTTCGGGTCGGGAAAAACAGTTTTTGGGCGACAAAAAATAACAGTTTTGGAATCGACAAAAACCGGGTCATAACGGTTTAAGGGTAACAAAAAAAACCGGATTTAGAATTTTAACAAACCGGTTTTGGGTTTGTAAAGAATGCTCTTGGGTCTATAAAGAAATGGTTTCGGGTTCATACAAAAGCGGGTTTAATTTAGGATCGTAAAAACTGGTTTTGGGTAAAAAAAAAAAAACAGGTTTTTAATAATGTAACAAGACGGTTTTGGGTTCAGACAAAACCAGATTTTGGTTCATAAAAAAGCGGTTTAATGATCGTAAAAAAACGGTTTCGAATTTGTAAGAAAAAAAAAACAGTAATCGTTTCATAAAAAAGAAAACGGGTTTGGGATACGTAAAAATACAGATTCCTGGTCCTAAAAACGGGTTTTAAAAAACACTAAGGCCGTTTTCTATATTCCACTCGCGCTTGTTGGATGTGAGATGATTGAGCCAACTCGGCAACGAGAGCTTGTGGAATAATCGTTGATTAGCCAATGAGAGCGGGAGGTTTTCTGCAGTTATTACAAAATTATTGATTACAGCTTCTTTGTGATGTAACACCTTCTAATGAAAACGTAAGTTCCATACTTTCTTTTTCCTTGCTATCAATTTCAGAGCGGAAAAACGTAATAAGCATTTGCGAGTCTTGGCCGCGCGCCAGGCTCCAAATTTGATAAATGGCGGGAATTTCGTCCATCATGTAAACAAAAAAAAGTTACGAACTTAATATGCTTTCCCAATTTTCCCTTTAAGCAGCAACATTTTCACGTCACTAATGGAAAGCTTGTGTATTTCTTTCGAGGAGAATCAATTTTTTTCCCGACAACCGGTATACTAGTACAAGAAATGTCGGTGCGAAGACACGCTTTTTTCCACAAACCCTTTCTACATATCGCATCCATATAAGCACACCACTGAATATATAAGCAAACGAGCCTCTCAGCGGCTGCAGGCAGGGGCAGCCTTGTTTTCTTAACAGAGAAATGACAAAAAAAGTTCATGCTTATATAAATAAATTCAACCGAGCGACATCATCGCACACCTTAGAACAGTCCGCCGTTCTTTCCACAATTGATGCCTTCTGCATCATTATTACCTGAGCCCGCAAGTAGCGTAGAAAGCTGCGCAGCGCAGTACGTTTTTAACAAATTGACGCCAGTTTTTCATGCGTCTGTCCTGTTATTGATCATGAATTTCGTCATAACATTGTCAAAGTAGTTGTGGATCCACGAGACGATTAGCCGAGTCGATTTGGTTGTTACAATAACAAATTGTCAAATTGTCCGCTCTCGCTCGTTGACGCATGGCGCAAAATATAAATTCATAGCGGAGCTCCGGCGGCCCTTCGCTGAGCACTATAAATATAGAAACAGAACCACATGCATGCAAAGAAATAGGAACCAGTACAACTCTTCTTTTTTTATGGTCAACATGGCTAGCGGTATGGATTGCGGGCGCGTGCGCCCCAAGACGACGACGTCGCACAACATGGCGGCCATCCAGCTAATACCGAGTCATGCAGTCTTGGTTTACAGGCTTTGTTATTGGACATCCATGTTATGGTCAATTGACATCTATCAAAACAAGGTATCCGCTGACCAGTATCAACCTGACCATATCGCGGGGTCAGGTTCAACGAGCTCATGTGTTTTTTTAAAGCTGACCAAGTGTCAGCTTTCCATAGGATCACGGGCTCATGTCAGGCTAATTTGTTGTAATCAGGGCGACTATCAGGGCCGGGTTGTTCGGAAACCGGTTAATGCTACATGTAACCCAGGATTAAAAGTTAGCCGAAGTATAAATTTTTCTTGCATACAAATGTTTTTCAGTGCTTTTGGGTCATGGGCTGCGTGTGTAGTTTGAGATTATTTAAACTCAAAACAGAAGGCCAAACAATATAAACAGAAAACCTCACAAAAACTCAACAACCCTACAAAATTCAAATCAAAATTCTCGCTTATCCTGTGTTAGCTTAATCAGGCTTTAAACAACCCGACCCAGGAGTTCCGCTTTTAGCCTTGGCTAAATCTATATATTATGTCTGTCCGCTTATGGACAGTGAAAATTAGCCAATGAGCGCCCGAGAATTTCCGCAGTTATAGTAAAATTAGCAATTCACTTCGTTCCTTAGTCCTTGGACCCGATTCCTATTCCAACATTTTTCTTGTTTTGTCCCGGACTGGTCACGTGTCTTCTAACATTGCTGCAGTACAGTTTGCACGCATCCGAGGTCATCGCAATGCGCTGGAATTTCTTGATTGCTGCAGTTCTTGTACCTGTTATTTGTTTCTTACTTTTCAAATTCCAAGATGGTGATTTTACATTGATGATTTATGAGATGATCGGTCAAGATCCAGCGGTTGCCTTGCGTGGGAAAGTGGTCTGGATTACTGGCGCTTCGAGCGGTATCGGTGAATATTTGGCTTATGAACTGGTCAAATATGGCTGCAAATTAGTGCTGTCTGCGAGAAGGAAGGTAGAATTAGAGAGAGTCAAGAAGAATTGTGCAGGTAAGTTGAATTACGAGAAAAGAACTTGCGCGAAATAGGTGTTTTATAAGCACTGGTACTTTCCACTACGTTTTGATATTAAAGTTGAAGTTTATTGTACTTTCAACTAAGATTTTTCTTTTTCCGAAACCTCCCCTTTACTTAGTGAAAGAATAGTGCTAATTTAAGAGCTGGTTAAAAATCCTTGGAGGTTTAGAGGCTTACAATCTGCTGGGCATCCGTGAAACAGTGGGTGTCTTGAAAACAAAGACCCCCTAAGATCCCTAAAACCCCCTCAGACCCCAAAACTTGAAAACAAAGACCCCTAATTTTGTTACATATTTTTGGGGGGAGAGGGGGGTACTCTTCTCCCCAGTACCCCCAGAAAAATCACCTTTTTCTGAGGGAGGGGGAGGGGAGGCCATTTTTATTTTTCATGTTTTCTGTTTGTACTCCCTCTTCTTTTTGTAACTTTCCCCCAAAATTGTTTTTTTTCTGAGGGAAAGGGGTGGAGTTTTAAAATATGTACCACCCTCCACTCTTAATCTTCTGTTGATAGTATGAGGTTGACAAACTGACAACTTTACTGTACTCCCTCTTGTCCCAGTACTCTCTCCTTTTTCTTTCCACCCGACCTAACTTGCCTTATTTGAGGTGAGTTGGGGAGGAGAGGGAATTTGGAAATAGATCACCTTGGATTTTACAGCGCGTTCAAAGTTAAATGAAACAGTAAAATACTCTGCTTTTCAATGCACAATTTCTGAAAAAGCTTACTCGAATCGACTGGTAACTCTGTTCAGTCTAATTTTAGTTCACTGCTGTGACTTGCAACTTTACACAGACATCGTGAAGCCGTGAGACTTTGTGAGGGGGAGTAGCTTGGAATAGAACTTTTAGTAACCGGTGCCAGTGCTGTGCGTCATCATACATGACCGAAAGTATACAGGAAAGCAGATCCTGCCTGAGCTCTTGGGCAAACTAAATCATAAATCGCTTCCCGAGGAATTATGTCACAGTACATATCTGTTAAACTTTTATTAGTCCCACAACACCTAGCATCAGTCTCACCTGTACTTCCTAACTTTTGGTTATTACTGAATTGTAGGTTTTCTGGTCCCCATGAAGAAAAGATGAGTCAAATTGGATCTTTGCACATTATTCAATCTGTAAATGTTTTCAGAAAATTACAAAAATAAGTGACAATAAGGTAGCTGAATTGCACTCGACTGCACACAAACCTAGNTTTTTTTTTTAAAGAATGGAAAACGCTCTCCATCGGATAAATCACTATCCAGTGGATAACTGTTGACAAAACAAACTACGCTATTTGCTGTGTAGTAATTTATCCTGTGGATAGTGTTACCTGTACTTTGAAGAACTGGGGCCAGAACAGCAGCTACTGCAAACTTTATCAGATAATCAGCAAAGTCAGAATAACAGAATGTGTAACTTTTATAAATTCAGACCTGATCTTGTGGATGTAGCATTGATTTAAACATTTACCTGCATACTTTATCAGAGAGACAATGTTATTCATATGAAATGAAAAAAAAAAAAATTAGTCGAACAGAGTTCACAAACCCAGTTGAACAAAACAAGAATAGCAAGTAATTGGTTAGTTATTTTACTTAGTTATTCGTTCTTTTTCATTTAGTTAGTTATTTGTTGTTAGGCGCATTGAGTTTAGAAGTACAATTATTAGTATATTATATATATTACGAACTTTAATGTCTTTTTTCAATTAACATTTAAACAAAGTTGTAGGAAATTTAGTAATGTGGAGTTCACAGGTAGAATAAAATCAATTGACATGGTGTACTTCCTACAATCTTGCAACGTTGAAAATCGGCATTTTTTTTGTCTTGACTTGTACCCAACGTCTACTTGGGTAGAGAGTTATAACTGAAAGAGGCCCGTGTATAGATGAATCCTTCCCCTTGATCAAACGTTCGTAAACTTGTCCGGAAATAAAACCGAATCTGAATACGGGCAACCTTCAACTCATCCTAGATTCAAACCATGGCCGAAACAAACTGACCTGATGTGTCGTCTATCGATTTTGGAAAGGAAAAAACAGTTTTGGATCGTAACAAACTGGCTTTCTGTTCGTAAAAATTAAGTTTTGGGATTAACGAACAACGGTTTTAGGTTTGTAAAAAACCGGTTTGGGGTTTCGCGAGAAACCGGTTTAAGGATCTTAAAAAAACTGGTTTCGAGTTCGTAAAAGACGGCTTTTGGTTCATAAAAAGGGATTTTAGGACCATAGAAAAACGGTTTGGGGTCCCAGCTGGATACGTAAAAAGCTGGTTTAGGGATCTTAGAAACCGGTTTTGTAATCGTAAAAACTGGTTTCAGGCTTGTAAAAACCGGTTTTGGTTCTTTTAGGAATTTAAAGGGGCCTTAAATTAAATTAATTCGATCAGACGCGCCTTGTGGCTGTATGTGGTGATGCTTGATGTTTGGTTTTGTAAAAAACAAACTGTTTCGGGTCGGGAAAAACAGTTTTTGGGCGACAAAAAATAACAGTTTTGGAATCGACAAAAACCGGGTCATAACGGTTTAAGGGTAACAAAAAAAACCGGATTTAGAATTTTAACAAACCGGTTTTGGGTTTGTAAAGAATGCTCTTGGGTCTATAAAGAAATGGTTTCGGGTTCATACAAAAGCGGGTTTAATTTAGGATCGTAAAAACTGGTTTTGGGTAAAAAAAAAAAAACAGGTTTTTAATAATGTAACAAGACGGTTTTGGGTTCAGACAAAACCAGATTTTGGTTCATAAAAAAGCGGTTTAATGATCGTAAAAAAACGGTTTCGAATTTGTAAGAAAAAAAAAACAGTAATCGTTTCATAAAAAAGAAAACGGGTTTGGGATACGTAAAAATACAGATTCCTGGTCCTAAAAACGGGTTTTAAAAAACACTAAGGCCGTTTTCTATATTCCACTCGCGCTTGTTGGATGTGAGATGATTGAGCCAACTCGGCAACGAGAGCTTGTGGAATAATCGTTGATTAGCCAATGAGAGCGGGAGGTTTTCTGCAGTTATTACAAAATTATTGATTACAGCTTCTTTGTGATGTAACACCTTCTAATGAAAACGTAAGTTCCATACTTTCTTTTTCCTTGCTATCAATTTCAGAGCGGAAAAACGTAATAAGCATTTGCGAGTCTTGGCCGCGCGCCAGGCTCCAAATTTGATAAATGGCGGGAATTTCGTCCATCATGTAAACAAAAAAAAGTTACGAACTTAATATGCTTTCCCAATTTTCCCTTTAAGCAGCAACATTTTCACGTCACTAATGGAAAGCTTGTGTATTTCTTTCGAGGAGAATCAATTTTTTTCCCGACAACCGGTATACTAGTACAAGAAATGTCGGTGCGAAGACACGCTTTTTTCCACAAACCCTTTCTACATATCGCATCCATATAAGCACACCACTGAATATATAAGCAAACGAGCCTCTCAGCGGCTGCAGGCAGGGGCAGCCTTGTTTTCTTAACAGAGAAATGACAAAAAAAGTTCATGCTTATATAAATAAATTCAACCGAGCGACATCATCGCACACCTTAGAACAGTCCGCCGTTCTTTCCACAATTGATGCCTTCTGCATCATTATTACCTGAGCCCGCAAGTAGCGTAGAAAGCTGCGCAGCGCAGTACGTTTTTAACAAATTGACGCCAGTTTTTCATGCGTCTGTCCTGTTATTGATCATGAACTTCGTCATAACATTGTCAAAGTAGTTGTGGATCCACGAGACGATTAGCCGAGTCGATTTGGTTGTTACAATAACAAATTGTCAAATTGTCCGCTCTCGCTCGTTGACGCATGGCGCAAAATATAAATTCATAGCGGAGCTCCGGCGGCCCTTCGCTGAGCACTATAAATATAGAAACAGAACCACATGCATGCAAAGAAATAGGAACCAGTACAACTCTTCTTTTTTTATGGTCAACATGGCTAGCGGTATGGATTGCGGGCGCGTGCGCCCCAAGACGACGACGTCGCACAACATGGCGGCCATCCAGCTAATACCGAGTCATGCAGTCTTGGTTTACAGGCTTTGTTATTGGACATCCATGTTATGGTCAATTGACATCTATCAAAACAAGGTATCCGCTGACCAGTATCAACCTGACCATATCGCGGGGTCAGGTTCAACGAGCTCATGTGTTTTTTTAAAGCTGACCAAGTGTCAGCTTTCCATAGGATCACGGGCTCATGTCAGGCTAATTTGTTGTAATCAGGGCGACTATCAGGGCCGGGTTGTTCGGAAACCGGTTAATGCTACATGTAACCCAGGATTAAAAGTTAGCCGAAGTATAAATTTTTCTTGCATACAAATGTTTTTCAGTGCTTTTGGGTCATGGGCTGCGTGTGTAGTTTGAGATTATTTAAACTCAAAACAGAAGGCCAAACAATATAAACAGAAAACCTCACAAAAACTCAACAACCCTACAAAATTCAAATCAAAATTCTCGCTTATCCTGTGTTAGCTTAATCAGGCTTTAAACAACCCGACCCAGGAGTTCCGCTTTTAGCCTTGGCTAAATCTATATATTATGTCTGTCCGCTTATGGACAGTGAAAATTAGCCAATGAGCGCCCGAGAATTTCCGCAGTTATAGTAAAATTAGCAATTCACTTCGTTCCTTAGTCCTTGGACCCGATTCCTATTCCAACATTTTTTCTTGTTTTGTCCCGGACTGGTCACGTGTCTTCTAACATTGCTGCAGTACAGTTTGCACGCATCCGAGGTCATCGCAATGCGCTGGAATTTCTTGATTGCTGCAGTTCTTGTACCTGTTATTTGTTTCTTACTTTTCAAATTCCAAGATGGTGATTTTACATTGATGATTTATGAGATGATCGGTCAAGATCCAGCGGTTGCCTTGCGTGGGAAAGTGGTCTGGATTACTGGCGCTTCGAGCGGTATCGGTGAATATTTGGCTTATGAACTGGTCAAATATGGCTGCAAATTAGTGCTGTCTGCGAGAAGGAAGGTAGAATTAGAGAGAGTCAAGAAGAATTGTGCAGGTAAGTTGAATTACGAGAAAAGAACTTGCGCGAAATAGGTGTTTTATAAGCACTGGTACTTTCCACTACGTTTTGATATTAAAGTTGAAGTTTATTGTACTTTCAACTAAGATTTTTCTTTTTCCGAAACCTCCCCTTTACTTAGTGAAAGAATAGTGCTAATTTAAGAGCTGGTTAAAAATCCTTGGAGGTTTAGAGGCTTACAATCTGCTGGGCATCCGTGAAACAGTGGGTGTCTTGAAAACAAAGACCCCCTAAGATCCCTAAAACCCCCTCAGACCCCAAAACTTGAAAACAAAGACCCCTAATTTTGTTACATATTTTTGGGGGGAGAGGGGGGTACTCTTCTCCCCAGTACCCCCAGAAAAATCACCTTTTTCTGAGGGAGGGGGAGGGGAGGCCATTTTTATTTTTCATGTTTTCTGTTTGTACTCCCTCTTCTTTTTGTAACTTTCCCCCAAAATTGTTTTTTTTCTGAGGGAAAGGGGTGGAGTTTTAAAATATGTACCACCCTCCACTCTTAATCTTCTGTTGATAGTATGAGGTTGACAAACTGACAACTTTACTGTACTCCCTCTTGTCCCAGTACTCTCTCCTTTTTCTTTCCACCCGACCTAACTTGCCTTATTTGAGGTGAGTTGGGGAGGAGAGGGAATTTGGAAATAGATCACCTTGGATTTTACAGCGCGTTCAAAGTTAAATGAAACAGTAAAATACTCTGCTTTTCAATGCACAATTTCTGAAAAAGCTTACTCGAATCGACTGGTAACTCTGTTCAGTCTAATTTTAGTTCACTGCTGTGACTTGCAACTTTACACAGACATCGTGAAGCCGTGAGACTTTGTGAGGGGGAGTAGCTTGGAATAGAACTTTTAGTAACCGGTGCCAGTGCTGTGCGTCATCATACATGACCGAAAGTATACAGGAAAGCAGATCCTGCCTGAGCTCTTGGGCAAACTAAATCATAAATCGCTTCCCGAGGAATTATGTCACAGTACATATCTGTTAAACTTTTATTAGTCCCACAACACCTAGCATCAGTCTCACCTGTACTTCCTAACTTTTGGTTATTACTGAATTGTAGGTTTTCTGGTCCCCATGAAGAAAAGATGAGTCAAATTGGATCTTTGCACATTATTCAATCTGTAAATGTTTTCAGAAAATTACAAAAATAAGTGACAATAAGGTAGCTGAATTGCACTCGACTGCACACAAACCTAGAAGGTTATACATTTTCACGCAATTAATTTTAGTGCCTTGTGCATGGTTTCGTCAATTGGTGAAAAAAGTTCAATATCAGACAAGGATAAAATAATTATCTCGCTTGCATGCTCAGGGTTTAACTTTTCCAATCAGTGCTATGGACAAAGAAAAATTACAAGAGTGGCCTCCCCTCTCCCCTCATGATTTTTTTTTGGGGGGGTGGAGGTGTACTGGGGAGAGGAGTAGCCACCCCCCCAAAAAAACTGTAAAAAAAAGGGGGGTCTTTGTTTTCAAGTTTTGGTGCCTTAAGGGATCTTTGTTTTCTAGCCACCCACCGCCCCCGCCCCTTCCACTCCAGGTCTCCCTAAGAAATTTATAACCCGATGGTAAAAAATATTCAAAGTACACCAACCTGTATTAAGTGGCCACCTCCCATCATTGTCCCATTTCCTGCTTATAGGGGTTCGACTGTGTTATGACCCATTCTATTCATGACATTTACCCATAAATTATTAATAATTTTATACCATTTTTTTGTCTCATCCAGCAATAATTTTTTCCTTTGAAACTTATATTTCAGTCATTGCCATTGCTCATGATTCTTCGTTCAAAACAGATCAAGATATTCTTGTCCTTCCTTTGGACTTGCTAAAATATGACACACATGAAAAACGGATCCAGGATGTCCTCAACCACTTTGAAAAGGTATGGCATTCTTAGCTTAGTCAGAGATTCAGACCATTTTGGGGATTATGAAACAATTTTTCTGGTTATGCCAACTGAATCTAAAATCAAGCCTAGATTTATTTTAGGCAGGGTCACAGCCATACACTCAGAAGCTTGGGCAAAATTATTAGAGTTTCTAGTAAGAACTTCAAATTTCACTTGTCCTGCAACAATAATGTAATGAATACAGTGCTTGTTGTTCTTCTCAAACTTTAATTTTGATGCACACTTCAATTAACTGTGCGGCATATTGGTGGCCTCATGGTTAGTGTTCTCGCCTGTGGATCAAGGGGTACAGGTTTGAGCCCTGGCCGAGGACATTTTGTGGTATTCTTGGGTGATAAATACTTTACCTTCACAGTGTCTCTCTCCTGACCCAGGTGTATAAATGGGTACTGGCAAATCTGAAGCTGAGAGTAACCCTATGATGGCCTAGCATCCCATCCAGGGTAGAGTAGAAATACTTCTAGTCACTTCATGCTACAGAAACTGGAGATAAGCATTGGCTTGATGGGTAATGCAACTTGGCTCATATGCAGACTTTTCGTACCTTTTGTTAAGTACAGTGTATATAAAAGCTTCGTTGGGCCACTTTAAGAAAGATCAAACATCATGAAGAACTAGTTTTAAAAACTGAACAGTGTGGTATTTACATGAAGCAGTCATTGTTTTTTTCTTTAAATACATGAAGGTTGACATTTTGGTGAACAATGCTGGTAGGTCACAGAGAGCTTGGCTGGAAAAATCATCATTAGAGGTGGATAGAGCACTTTTGGATTTAAATGTTGTTGGTACCATCTCTTTGACCAAAGCAGTTCTCCCACATATGATTGAACGTCATGAGGGGCAGATTGTGGTGGTGAGCAGTATCCTGGGAAAAATTGGTAATATTGAATTATGGCATTCGGTTTGTTTTTATTACTAATTAATTATGCATGGCTCGCTTGGTTGTTGGACATGGTATAAACTGACTGGGGCAAATACAGGATTTTAGATAAGGGGGTTCAAGACACGAATAGCCAGAAGCAGTCCCGTGTAAGTTGCCCATCCTCCCCTGGGAAGTTGTTAAAATTGACATCCTTGGAAATGGGATTTCAGACATTCTAAGGCCAAGTTAGCGTGTTATAATGTGTTATAAATTTTTTTAATTTAGGGGGTGCGACCAAACTCCTGAGACCTCCTAGATCTGCCCCAGACTGAATTGTCTGTTGATAAGAAAAACAAGCTAAAAGAGCTTTGAACAGAACAAATAATTACCATACTGAACAGTTATCATTTTAGTAATTTTAGTGTTAACATATTGAATTTATCTACCAATATACACTTTCAACTTCAATGGAAACTTTAAAGAAAGTGGCTTAGTTGAGTTGTGTGGCATGTGGATTACAGTAAATTAAACCCCGGGCAGGGGGCGGGGGGAACAGTACTCTACAAAGTTTAATATGGGGAAACTCTGCCCTGAGGTCCAACGCTTTACTCTTTTGTATTCCATTTTGACAGAAAAGGTAACCCTTTTGTATGTTTTCATAACTGGCCTGTATTATGATTAAACTGCTCAGAACAGGGAGTCTTTGTTACTGATTAAGTTAATAGTCATAAGGTGCATCTGTTTGAAATATTTTAATTAATAGCCCTTTTAAATACCTTATGGCATATTTCCCTACCCTTTCATAAAAAAATACTGCAATTTATGAATTCCCTAAGTTACCCTTTTATATACCTGTACCCCTTTTGGGCAGAGCGTCCCCATGTAGGCCATTATAGGGAGTATCCCCTCCAGGAAATTATGTTGTGGGTTAATCTGTGGTAAAAATGATAACTATGGTATTTATTGACATGAGAAGTTTGTTTATATAAAAAAAAAATTCTTCACAGGGTTTCCTTTTAAGGCAACTTTGTCTGCCAGTAAACATGCATTGCAGGTATGTACTATCCAGGATCAAAATGCTGTCGAAAACAAAGTTCTACGAAAATTAATTAATTATTTATTGTAAGGAATTACATTTTTCATTTCTAAGACTTTTCTTCATGAATGTCAAATAAGCATCATGTCTACTCTAGTTATTGTTGCATTTTATTTGTAATCTCCAAGATTTATAAGGAAACAACAGCTTGAATGGTGGACAGGGACATGACCAGGTTGTGTGTCTGAAAAGTCTGCTACAGTTGGGAACCCTGTTAATATGGTCACCAATGGTTGTGAGCAAAAGGTGTTTAGACTGTATTTCAGCTGAACCCAAGGAAGGCTGTCAGAGACACTAAGAGCTTTGTTGCAACGATTTTGTTATTAAAAACATATTTAAAATGGTTTTTATGTTACCATTTACTATGCAGTTTTAAGGTCTTTATAAATGTGTTTGCTTTACTGTACGCAAAGGTGAATTCTAAGGAAATCTCTGAGGAAGTATTCTTTTCTTTTTTCAGAAAAATGCTGATGTCAGCATTCTTGTTGAGATTCAAGGCTAATTATCTCGAAAAAATGTGTGGCTACCCGCAGTTTTCTTTGTGGATTCCAATAGCCCTCGAAAAGATCTACTTTTTCCGCATGGTCCTAACCTGGTGCAAAAACCTTTGTATTTAGTAGGCACCGTCCTTAAGGGGGTGACCGTATTAACGGGGTAGGATCAAATTTCATGACTGGTCTGTTTTAAGTGACGTCTTGACAGACATCACAATTGCACTTTTAAACTGTTCTTTGATAACTGTTCAAAATGCAGGTATAAATTTAAGTTGAAACTTCAGTCAGTACATACAATATTAACAAGAAAAAATGAACATAACTGGTTTGAGTGGCAATATAACTAGGGTAAAATTATAGAAGATTGTACAGGTTGCCATTGGCCATATTAATCGGGAGGCCAGATTAATGGGGTTTTCTTATAAAAAATGTATGAGCATCTTGCCGGGATTGGCCTCAATAACAAGGCAACCATATTAACAAAGTGACCATAAGGCGGGGTTCCACTATAAAATTTGGAAATGAGCTCTTTCACAATATGCTTGGGTTATAAGAGTTGAGGAAACTCAATTGGGAGGCATGGAGATTTATATGGACAGGCTCTGTCCCGTGGTCTCAGCACTCTAGCCTCATTAAGGAGCCTCCCTATATAGTCCATTTTAGGGTTGTACTCCCCCTTCCCAATCAGAACAAGCATTCCGGTTTCAAGCTCTGGTTGGGGTCATTGCGTTGTGGTCTTGGGCAAGACTCGTAACCCTCATGGTGCCTCTCTCCAACCAGGTGTATAGATACCTGCAAATTTAATGCTGGGGTGTAACCCTGCAATGGACTTTCATCCCATCCAGGGGGGGGAGAAGAAATACATGTACTCTTAGTTGCTTCATGGTGCAGAAAGCTGTTAAATGGGTCCCTGGCTTGATGCAAGCTTCTGCAACCTTTTACCCTACAGGAAACAGTTAGTTTTGTTTCCCGTCAAACCTCATTGCTCCCTTTAGGCTCTGACTGGGGGAACAACACTAAGCATTGGCCAGAAAATGCATCAGGTACTTATAGCCATTATCATTTTGTTAGGGCTACTTTGATACTGCACGGCTGGAGCTGGCTGAGCACAACATTCATGTACAGACTGTTCTGCCAGGACCTGTTAAGTCAAACATTGCTCTTCATTATTTCACTGAGAATATCGATGATGTGAGAAAACAATAGTTTCTTAATGTAACATTGTTATTGGCCAATTATAGATGTACAATTGTGGCAGTTATTTTTGGTCTCAGTTTAATTATTTTTCAACTTTATGTGGTTAATACTTTGCATCAGTTAATTTTTTTAATCTCATCCTAGTGAATAATTAGTTGGCTATTGATAAATTGAATAATTTTTGCTCTAGACAGCTTGACACGAGTACCACAGTGCTGACTTTTATCTGCGTGGTAGAAACAGACTTTGCATGTTGACTATGAAGAGCTACATATATCAACATTCAGGGGCAGATCCAGGATTTTTCAACTGGGGGTGGCTGGAAAGGGGTGCAGAATTAATGGGGCACCTTCCCAAATTGCTGTAATTTGAGAAATAAAACCTAACTGAAAACCGTTTCACCAGAAAAACCAGCAGTGCCACAAAGTAGAAATTACAATGAGGTACCTGTCCAGAGAGTTTGCCCTTATTTCTCAATCTGCCATAATATTAACAACCTTTTTCAATTTTTTTTGTTTTGCTTCTCCAAAAGGGGGGTGGCTAGCCACCCAGTCCACCCCCCCCCGCTCCTAAATCCGCTCCTGTCATAACCATTTAAATTATTGTATAACCAATTCTGATCACTTTTTGTCGCATGAAATGAATTCCAGTGACTCAAGACTTTTACCCTTGCAGGAACTTAAAGATGCACAAAATTTACCTCAGTTAGGAATGATGTCAACTGAGCGCTGTGCACATTTAATGGCAGTAGGCGTGGCAAACAACTTGGATGAAGTTTGGATTACAGAGACCCCACCCTTACTAATGTTGTACTCAAACCAGTATTTACCAAACCTCTATAGATGGTATGTGTTGCTCAATGTAATAGGAAGACAAACCAGTGAGACAATCTCAGATAGTGCAGAGCGCAGTTGATAGCTCTGGTACAGTAGTCTCATAATTACCCACCCCTGCTCGGTATACTTCCGGTTTGTATCTACCTGGATAGTCTGCTAGGGCTTTTCCCCTTAGCAGTGTGTATGTTTCAAGGTTGTATTTTCATTCAAGGTCCAAAAATTACGTACAAATTACTACTGGTTTTTTACGTTGATTTTCGTTCATTTTAAATTCAATAATACGTTGAAGCAGCAAGCGTGACAATTTAGCTCTTCACGCCAACTTTGTAACTTGATACTTTTGTTTTCCTCGCACAGGCATGTAACATGAAACCCTTGTTTTTCCAAAACACACGGAAGATGTGCTTGTTTTTTGGAGATAAATGAAAGAAAGTTAAATATCTGATGTAGTGATGAAGAAACGGAACAGAAACGATGCTGTTTTACTAAAAATGCAAATTTTCCTATCACCGATGAACAAGGAATAATTTAATTATCAGATAGTCACAAAATACCGCTTTCTTTTTCTGTTGCCACCTTTGTTGTTAACAATAAAACAATTCAAAATTAACACACAACTATATTGATGGCTGAGAAGCGTTTCAACGAAAATTATTGAAGATAAACAGCGCTTCTTGACCGATATGAATGATTCTCCTTTAAGACTGATTGAATCAATTTGCGCTTTCACGAGATGCCACGGAGTCTGCATCAATATTTGAGCACTTTCCTGGTTTGTTTTGTCACAAATTTACAATTTGTGGAGTATTAAAGCCACTAACTTGGGAACTTTCTGGTCTGTCTTACAGACACAATTAAGGCAAGAAATAAACAAGCCGCTAAGGAGAATCAATACATTTGAACCCTGACAAACACACTATTGTAGATTGAAAACAGCAGATGACATTTGTTGAACCGACCTGTGTGTCATTCTAAAACTTACGCAGCCACAGTAACGTTTCACTTTTGCAATAAAAAGGGACAATTGGCGCCACCTGAAAAAAAACTGCCGTCCTTGGTCACATGACATGACATAGAAAATACCGCGTGGAAAGATAGTGTATAGCACTAACGAGGCTAGAACGCATGCGTCTTACATGTTGAGTTCTACCATAAGGAAAACCAGTCAACATTTGTACGTGATTCCGTATGCAAAGTATCCTCCACCTAATATAGAAGCCACGAACGCTAACTAATCTACGCATGTGTTTAGAGGAAATTAGTTTTGTTCTAAAGAGGATGGTACCACAAGGAGAGCAAGGGGTTACCTGAAACAAATATATAGCTTTGCGATGTTTATATCCAAGTGACGGCGATGGAGCATGTTTCACGTAGAGTGCACATGTACCTTTCCCACCCCACCCACATCACTTCCTTGCCTCTAGACTAATTAATTACTTGAAATTAATTTTAAAAGTAAACAAACATTAAAGTTTACACCTTAACGCCTTAGGCTTGGTGCCTTAGCGGCAGGCAGCCCCCAAAACCATCCCAATAGTGCACTCTGCTCTAATAAAGCGTCTCGAACGTATGCATCGTACTTAAAATGTGTGCACCAGGCACACATACAAAGCTCATGTCTTTGCAGAGAAAGCCATTGTTAGAGAGGCCACTGCTTGCGAGATTTACAAGTTTGGTTTCAGGACCGGATTCACAGTTCAGATAGGTCATCTGTTTTGTGCGTCAGCACATAAAATGTTAAGTTCATTTGATGTTTAGTTGCCTCTTATTTTTCATATTTACCTGGAGGCTTGATACAGCTGGAATGCATTATTTGTATTCCCATGCCAGGTAAAGGAGACGGTTAGCTGGCAAATACAATTTTTATGTTTCCTTCTAGTGTGATAGTATGCGTTTACAGAGTGAACCTCCACCAGCGTACTGCGGACGTGGCATTACTGCTGGTCACCCGCTCCCGTGCTGCCTTCACTACAGCCTAAGCTATACCCGCACTGCCCCGTGTCCCCAAAGGAACACACCGACATTAACATGGCAAGGAGGTGCAACCGCGTAAATCACCCCTGCCCCCGGGTCCCCCGCGTCCCCCGTACCCCGGGAAGCATTTCTATCAAAACTGCTTTATGATGTCTTTTCTATCTCCAGGCTTTCTAAGAAGTTCTTAATGGAAAGAATAGGAAGACTTTACACGGACAAGAAATCTTTATCGAGGCCAAAAAGTCACAGACTTGCAGAACAGTCATGAAATTATAACACTGTACGTCCCGCGTATTACACGATCGAGAATTCTTCATCAGATACCAAGAAGGAACAGTCAGACTTGTTAACAACCTTGACAACGTAACATTGTAGCTTTCTCGTTCTATATTCTTCACATGACGTCTCTACATGAAAATCGTTCGAGACCTGAAATTCCTGATCACATACTTTTTGGTATGCAACATACAGAACATTAGCTACTATGAGATTTATATCGTGGTAGCGAGGTCAGAGCTGAAGCGCAATCGGGCGAATGTAATGAATATCTACCCATCGTCTTGCACAACACAAGAGAGTGAAAGCACCGACTATTTCGCGTTCTTTTATAGTTACCGTATACCTTTTGAGGTGTCTCGCGTCCAAGCGACGTAGCGCGATATGTAAACCCATCGGACGATGGTGTTACAGGTTGTGAAAAATTCGACAATGTATGTTATTTCAAAATTCTTGGTATATTTCGTAAGCTTTAATTGATATATCGGGGCTTAGGTATCCACAGTTAAACCGTACGCTCTACATAGTTTGGACGCAAGACACCTAAAGATAGACGGTAACCTTAAGTGTGAATACTGACAGCTTTTCCATCTGGCATCATATTTTCAAGCCACTAGCTTATCCTCCTTTAGAAGCATTCTTCATGAACACTTATTAATATATAACAAGCCTTAGCTTTACCTACGGATATACTTCTTGATGTACTTGTTATACTCCTTGGTATACTTCTTGGCCATCAAAATTAAAATTTTGATCAAGAAGTTAAACCCTAAAAGATTTTTAACACATTTAAAAAAGCGAACGACGTTTCAGCGCTACGTTGCGCCAATAGGGACTTTAAGATATGGTACGGCTAGGCTGTAGTACGGCGGCAGATAGTGAAGAACGCTTCGGGTGACGTCATGACGCGCGTACCAGTACGGCTTTCTCGCCGTAGCCTTGCTTTCTACTACGGGAAAGTGCCTGGTTTCACGTTCTCTTCACTACGTGAGTATAAGCCTGCTGTTTACTTCTCATTGTAGCGCTTTTTTCACTGTTTCAACAGCCTAGTTTGAAGATAAAGTTCTTAATCATAAAAATCAGTTCTAAGATCATTGTTTCTTTGTCATTTGTACAGAAAATTTGAACGATTTTAACACCTACCTCGAGATGATCAATTCAGTCATTAGTATCGGGCTAAACAGCCGTAGATAAGAAAGCGTCGTATATAACAATCTGAGCTATAATTGTTTATTACTGTTTAAAATGTATTTTATTATAATCGAAAGTTTTGTAATTTCGGGCTTATCACGTAATCGTTGTACGAACAACCTGTCCGTGTTGAAATCGAGCTTTTTTTATATCAGAGTTTATTTTTTGTTTTGTGGTTGGAATTATAGACGGTTCTATTAAGTCTTAAAAGGCAATTCTGAGGTCTTGGAGATGTAAGACGGATACAGGAGAAGGAAATCATTGTCATTAATTAGGCCTATTTCGTATGAAAGTAGAATAATCCCTGGTTTCCTTGAAAGTAGCCATTTTTGTAAAGACACGTAGAGACTGCACATACCGTTGCCGTACAGCAAAATCTTAATCATTTGAAGCTATTTGAGTTTGGCAGGTAAAACACCGTTGTCAGCCTAGTCCCTCACGGCCAAAGTAGCCGTAGTAGCAATTCAACTCGCCGTAGCGTAACTTAAAGTCTACACAACGTGCCTTCAGCAGACCCATCTGTTTACATAGTATTGCCCTTTAAAGATGGACGAGGTTTTTGTGATATCCAGAATAATCAAGGTCGAGGTAAGGGTTATAAGCCGAGGCCGAAGGCTGACGCTGATAACCCTTACCGACACCTTGATTATTCTGGATATCACAAAAACCGAATCTAATATTTGTTTTATTATACATTGACATGATTATTGTATGATCTGCAGCTAGATGACGTCACAGGCGCTGATTTCTAAAATTCACTGTACGCTTTCGGCCATTCAGAAAAGAGATAGTGAGTTTCATGTATGATAATCTCATGTAACGGTGTTTCAACTCATGCAGTGTACTCTTCCAGCTGATACAGTGCAACCCCGCCTTACGGTCACCTCGTTATTACGGCCACTTTTTTGTCCTGGCGAAACGCCCATACATTTCAAGAAAACCCGGCTATTACGGCCACCCCGTTAATGCGTAAATAATTAGGAATTTAAGACCGCGGAAACTGTCAAACTTTTAGGGCTAACAAGAGATTCCAGATTAAGTTTTTCTGAACATGTAAACTACGCGTGCAAGAAGGCCAGTCAAAGAATTACTGTCCTCATGCGACTTAGGAATCTAATCGCTATTAAGGCCAAACTCCAACTATATAAGACAGCTGTGTTACCTTACCTTACATACTGACACCTAGTGTGGCATTTTTTGTAGAGCTAGTAACTCGCGCAAATTTGAACGATTACAAGAAAGAGGTTTGAGGGCTGTGTACAATGAAAAACAAGCTAGTTATTCTCAAATAATGGAAAGGGCCAAGCTGCCAACCTTGACAAACAGACGTTTGCAGGACATTTGTATTCTTATATATAAATTAAACATGGACTATGCCCGATTACTGTTTGCAATATTTTTAATGAGCATAACTCCAGGCACAATTTGAGGCAATCTGATTTTTCCACTCCAAGGTATACCTTTGTAATGTACGGTAAGCAATAACTGCGATGTTTAGGACCCAAATTATTGGATCAGTCAATACACTTAATGAGTTTATAAGGCGCATTCGTGTGCAAAGATCTGACTAGCTATAGATACATTACCTATAATATATAGCTTTATATTAAAAATATTTTAGACTGCATTTTGTATTTTTCATACTTTAGTGTAGATATTTTCGTCTTCACTTTTGTATTTTGTATTAGTCTGTGCTCCTTTATTAGTATGGGTTTCTTCATGGTTTATTATTATCATTATCATTATCACCATCACCATCATCATCATCGTCATCGTCATTAT